AAATGTGCTCCTTGATGATCTTCTCAAAGAGTTTCCCCAGGATTGAGGTAAGACTGACGGGCCTATAGTTGCCCGGGTCCTCCCTCTTCCCCTTCTTGAAGATGGGGACCACATTTGCTACCTTCCAATCATCTGGCACCTGGCCCAAGCACCACGATCGCTCATAGAGCCGTGCCAGGGGCCCTTCAATAACCCCAGCTAGCTCCCTCAACACCCTGGGGTGGAGAGCATCCGGATCTGCTGACTTAAATGCGTCCAGCCCCTCCAGAAGCTCTCTAACCCGGTCCTCCCCAACCTGAGGTCTGAAGGCGATCCCCTTGAGTCCGGCTTCTATCACAGCAGGGAAGTCCCGGTCCCTGCACAAGAAAATGGAGGTGAAGAATTGGTTAAAGACCAACTAAGAAAGAACAGAAAAAGATATATATTTTTTTTTTTTTGGCGATTTCTTAGCTGGTCTAATAAAAGGTATCGTCTCTGAACCAAGAGTTCTCGAGGTTTGCATTTCTTTTAGGCAACTGCTGAGCACTTTCATAGAAAGCCATGCTTCATCTCTGCTGCAGCTGGCCTGCTCCCTCTGACATAGGGAGGGCTGTGTTGTCTGCTTTAGTGGCTACAGAAAGTTTAGTGCCTTTCAAATGTCGGCTTATAGTGACTTGTCCCCTGCTATGGATGTGCAAAGGGTATAACGCAGTGGAGCCCCAATCTCAGCTGAGGCATTCAGGCAGGTGTGGCTGACTTCTCCTTGGGGAGTGTGGTTCAGCAGCAGGCAGGTGGGGTGGGGATGCTCGGGGAACTACAAGTGGTATGGGGCGGCCTCCTGGCAGATAGGGGAGCAGCATAGTGGCACCTGGGGCAGGAAGCAGAACAGTAAACCAGGCAGAGAACAGAGGAGCGGACTGGCAGGGAACACAAGACATGGAGCAGAAATAAGAGCAACAGACCCGGCAGGGAGCAGGAGGTAGAGCAGCAGCCTGGGCAGGGAGCAGAAAATAGAACAGTTGATCGGGGGCAGGGAGCAGAAAGCAAAGCGGCAGGTGGGGCCAAGAGCACAGGTCAGGATGCGGAAAGCAGAACAGTAGATCAGGCCTGGGGCAGGGAGCAGAAAGTAGAACAGCAGATGAGGCAGGGAGCAGAAAGCAGAGCAGACAGTGCCGGGTCCAGGAAGCGCAGCAGCAGAGTGGGCGGGGAGCAGAAGGCGGAGCGGCAGAGCGGGACGGGAGCGGGAGCAGCCCTGCCCTGCCCTGCCCTGCCCTGCCCGGCCGGGCGGGGGGCGGCGCGGCGGGGCTCGAGCCCGCCCGGCAGCCGG